TTTCTAAAAGTAAATAAACAACGTTTTAATTTTTCTTTCCAGGCTTTTTTTTTTTTTTTTTAAATCGTAAAATATAATTGGAAGATAATTATGAGCGTTATCGTTACTTATAGTTATTATTCATTTCTTACAAAACGTGGTCGTTGCCTATGATTATTATTCCATTATTCATTTTCACATCTTATAATTCCGTGGGTTTATCTCAGGTTTATTCAAAAATTATGACGAGAAAGAAAATTCTTTTTTTCTCTGTAATTATCATCATTCTGTGATAGCTAATTAACATTATTGATTGATTAGAAAAGAAGTAATTTTATTCATTGTTTTTAGCATAAAATTAGCAAAATAATAGCAGTTGTTATGCTATAATTCAGAATGAAAAGAGAGATGAATGAGTTTAATGGAAAAGAAAGGGAAATGAAATAGTAAAAGTGGAGGAGCTATTCACTTCAATAAAAATTTTGCCTTCCATTGTTATAAACTTAGAACTTTAAATAAGCTTTTTATATAAACCTTTTTGTTTTGTTTGCTTTTCCTCCTTTCTTTTCATTATCTATTTTAATCATTTAAATTTATTCAAAAAAAGAAAAGGAATTTTTTTTACAAACAAATTTTAATTTTTTAATAGAAATGAAAAAAAAAAAAACTATATTAGCACGAATTAAATTACAGAGCTTAATGTAGTTAAATCATAGTTTGATTGATGAGCACGGACAAAAGGACAGAAGAGGAAAAATTGAAAATGTTGATAAATATGATAGAATTGATCGTAAAATATACCATTTCAAAATATATTTTTATTAATATAACTAGATTAAAATATCCGAGTACTTATGAACATTCTATGGGACACCATTTTTGCAATATTTTTTTTCCGTTTTATATATTATACTAATTAATACAGCTGCACAGAATACACGGATACACGAATACATTAATATTCTCGAAGGTCCTTTTTTTTTTCTTGTATGAAATCATTGGAGAAATGATTTAATTAACATTATGTTCTAACATATTTAAAGGTTAGTTTGTTCATTTTAAATTTGTTTATTTAACACAAATTAAGATCGAAATACTTTGTTTTTTTACTCTTCCGTAAAGGGATACTAGTGATGGTAGTAATAACAAGAATAATAGCAATAATAATAATGATAATGATAATAATAATAAATAAACTAATAATGTAATACGAATTTGCTAAATTTTCATTTAAATAATGTAAAGAAAAATGTAATAAATAATATAAATATTGTAAAAATTATATAATAAACACACCATTTTTTTATTTGATTTATTCAATTTTAAATCAACTTTATTTAGAAATTTTAATAATTTCATCTCTCAGATTAGCTCCTATTAAATCTTCTGTCTGTTCTTAGAACAACTATCGTTATCATTGCGGTAATAAATCGCTTTTACTGTTGCTAATTCCATCTAAATAACATTCCTTAATAGCTCAATAGATTTACATTTTAATTTGCATACTTCAAAGTTAAAATCGAAATTGTAATGTTTTTTTTTTTTTTTTTTTTTTTAAAAAAAAGGTTTTTCAAAGTGACAATTTTATTGGTAAAATGTCCATCTTCGTCTTCATTTTCTTCTTCCCTTTCTTCATTATATTCTCAATAAAATAAAATAAACTTTTTACAGTTATCAAAATTAGCTTTTTTTCTTTACAATAACATATTTAATAGTTTTAAAATTCATTTCAAATTCTAGCAATTTCATTTCTTCTATTAATGAATTATCAAAGTGAAATAGATTTTAACTATATCTCTTTATTGCATATAAAGTTAAATCAAATGTATTTATTTAATTTTAGGAAAGGTAAAAAATTCCTCTTTTTTTCAATATAATATTTTATAAAATTTAATAGCATGCTATATGTTTATGTGTGTATGTATATATAAGCTATTTTGTCCATCTATTTGCTGTCCTAGTGAAATGGATAAAAAGTTTATCTATCATTTGTTTGCTGTTATGCTATATTCTCAGTTTATCAGAAACTAATCTTTCACTGCCACTTCAATATTGAACAAAATGTGATATCGTAGAGATAAAAAATGATTTTTAGAAATCAAAAATTACATTTATTTATTTATTTTGCACTTTAATTCACATCAAACATTTTTATTTTATCACTTATTATTTACATTTAATTAGTGTTTATAAATGAATAAAATTAAATTAAAATGCAAAGATGTCGGAAAAAATACAAAATTGGAATGTAATTAAATCATTTCATAATGATTTTCCTTTTTTTATCAATGCTTAAAGAATGTAATTTTGATTCATTAAATTATGGATTGAATAAATATAAAAATTTGGATGAATTCATTAAATTATTTAAATTTCGTCTTAATTACCAAAATTTATCAAAGATTTTTTCGAATCTTTTTCCTTTTTTTTTTGAGTTATAAAGGGAAGAAAAACACAAACATAGCAAAACAATGACTGATGCAAATTAGTAAGTTGCAGATCTTTTTTTTTTGAAATATAAAAATTTGTCATTATATTTTAGATTAAATTACGGTAATTTGATCTGAACTACAGAATTCTTCCTTCCATATAAAAAAAAATCATTAGCGGCTTGCCTTTACATATTAATTAAAATTTGAAATCGTCACCTTATAATTTAAAAAAAAATAGTATTAACAAAGATATATAAGCTTGCTGAATTACATAACCAATGCTAATTTTTCATTTAATGCAGCAATTTTTTCTTTTTTTTGGACATACAGCTTTAGGCGCTAATAATTTCATAAAATATTAGCATATAAATTGTTACATTCATTTCTTTTTTATTTTTAATATGCATTATTTGCATTGAAAATTTTTAAGCATTTTTCTCTCCTTTTTCTTTTTTTGTGTATTTATTTGCAGAATGCTTTCAATAAAATAAATATATGTCAAACTGCCACTGGAGTATTAACAAAAAAGCAGTTAGTATCCATTTTAAAATTTTTCCCTTTTTATTTTTTATTTTTTGCTCTATTTTCGATACATGCTTCCTTTTCATATTTTTTTTTTAAAAAAAGAACTCTTTTTTTTTTTTAAATAGCTTTATTTTAACATTTTAGATGCAAAAAAATGATGAAACTAAGCTAAGCTAACAAAAGGTATAATATTTTTAATTATTGCTTGAAAATTTATTTGAAATATTCATTTTTGAATTACCATTGTGCTTAAAAAAATATGATATATTGATAAATAAAATTATTATTAATTTGTGTTTTTATGTGCTTGCGATTATAATACATTTCATTTCCTTTTCGTTTTTGATTTGAAGTTTATTTTTGAAATGTTTGCTAATTAATTCATTGCTTCTTCCTTTTGCTCTTTCTCTTCAATAATAAATGAAGGAAAAGAGGGGGAAGAGGGAGGAACAAAACAAAGATTTAATCGATCGGAAGAAAATTGGACGAATAATTTCATTCATAGTAAAATGGTGTCTAGAAATTAGAAATATTATTGAGTAAATTAGTAAATATATGAATTTACCAGTAATTTTATCAATTCATTTGCTGAAATCATTCCTAAATCAACACATCTGCAAGAAAAATATAATTAATTTCTAGTTGTAAAATATTTTTAGGATGAGAATTATCCTTCTTTCTGATAATATGTCTGTGTGAGTGAGTGAGTGGCTTGTGTGTATGTGTGTTATCACCGGAAACGATCGATTGTAGCTTCGAAAGTAACGATCGGACTATTTATTATTCTAACCGGGAATCTATATTCTTCTAAATTATTGCATTTACATTTCTCACATATTACTTACTAATCAATGTGATAAATTGAAGCAAAATAGTTTTCGATAAAAATTTCGATTATAGAAACTAGTGAAATGCAAATAATTCAATTATTATAACTAATTATTTCTGCTTATTTTTAAATTTATTGAAATGATTAAACAAGAAAAGACTAAGCATTCTTTTCTTTTCTCTTTTTCTGTTTTTTTTTTTTGAAATGAAGTGAAGCGAAATAATAATGATAATAATAATAATAATAATAATAATAATAATAATAATAATAATAATAATGATAATAATAATAATAATAATAATAATAATAATAATAATAATGATAGTAATAATGATAATAATGGATAATGGTGATAATAATGACAATAATGATAATAATGGTGATAATGATAATAATGATAATAATAAAAATAATAGTATTCATTGTATAAAAGAACGACATTTTGGAAAAAAGGAATTAAATATATAAATAAATAAATAAGTAAAAAAAACGGTGTTGAAAGGCAAAGAAACGTTTTAGTGATATGATAACAGCAAAATGAGTCAAATGATTGCACTTTGTCAATTTCCAATTACTATATTTCATATAATTTATTTGAAATTATTCCTTCTAAACAATTTATTTGCTATTATTATTTTTTTATTCATTACATACTTTACTCCTTATTCTTGCTCTCATAACTGCTATTTTAATTAAATAAGGCAAAAGTTGAAAATAAAACAGAAAGAAAAAAAAAACGCTGAAACAATTGGGAAGTATTCCTTCATATTGTCATATTTTTTCTTAAAAAAGAAAGAAAAAACTTTTGATCCAATTATCTGTTATTAATTCATTTATATGAATTTAAAAAATTTTTTTGCTATTTTTATTTTTGAAATTATTATTTGTTATTAAACTGATGTTATTTGAAAGTTGCGATGATCATTTGTTTTATAAGTTTAGATAAATTCTATTTTTATCTCATTTATCCAATTTTTTCTTTTATTTTTACGAATTATTAGAGAATGTAGTTAATTTTCTTTCTTTAGCAATTAACATATATAGTATGCATATTAAATAAATATTAACTTCTATATAAATTTTATAATTAAAAAACAAAGAAAACGATTTTCCGTAAAATTACTTTTATTCATTTCTATTTATCTTCCTAATTTATTATTGTTAATATTTCTAGGATAAAAAAAAGGAAACGAAAAAACGGAAAAGAAGGATTATCTTTCGTGCATCAAATAACAATGCCAAGTGCCGATGATGTATTCCGGCAGTTCAATATTGAATTAGACGCAGGTCATGAACCAATTTTTCATGGTGATGAATTAATAACCGGTAAATTACAAATTGAATTGAAAAGACCAATGACAATACAAGCTATTAAATTGCAATTTAAAGGACGTGCTGCATGTGTTAAAAGAGATTCATCGAAAGGAGGTGAAATTGAAAAGGTATTAATGAAAATATATTTTATTGCTATCAAAATTAATGTATTACTTAACCTTTTTTTTAAAAAAATGATTTAAATCAATGTATTATTTTCAATCTATTAATGGATTATTTTAAAAATTACTGTCTTAAATTTGTTTTAAATTGCTTTCGAGTATTGTTTTTCTGATTTTTTGTTTTTCTGATTTTTGAATTTTTTGATTATTTAATCTAAATTTGGTCAAAATCTTGTGATTTATAATAGCAATATATTTTATTACTATCAAATCAATGTATTATTTTAAAAATAATTTCTTACTATTAAATTTCATGATTATTAAATGTAGCTGTGAAATAATTTATATATCTTGAGTTGTTTTTTTCTCTTTTTTTTCTTTGGTAAAAGTTAACATTCTATAGGTTATGTTAATTCATTTTACATTTTTTTTTTTTTTATTTTCAAATAATGTTTATTTATTTATTTTTTATAGGTGTATTTTGATAGAGATTTCACATTACTGGAAAGGCCACCTGGTCGGCCAGAACCAGGGCACTTCCCATGGATTGCTAATTATTTATACTGTTTACCATTTGAATGCCCATTACCTCTTGGTTGTCCAACTTCATATGAAAGTCCGCATGGATTTATTCGTTATTTCATTCGAGCAACTGTTGTTGAAGAAGCTGGAACTGATTCGGTGAATTTTTAAGCTTTAATAAATTTGATTTATTATATAAAATTGAGAAATATTCCAAAAATAAAACAAAGCCAAAACTTTTTTATTTAGAAAAGGGAATTGTAATAAGTTATTATAGAAATCATTACAGAAAAAATTATTAACATTATAGAAAATTATAAAAAATATTATGTAGTATTATAGAAAACAAACAAACACTAAAATAAATTTTATATTCAATAAATATATTTCTATAATTAATTAATTAAATTCTATCATTTTGCATTTTATCATTGAGTAAATGTGTGAATATTTAGCGTGAATATATTGCAAAAAAACCAATCTCGGTGATTGCACCGGTGGAATCATTTGTGGAATTGGCTATACAACCAATTGGTGCTTCAGAAACGGTGTCATTTGGTGGTTGTTGTTGTCGTGGTAAGCTAATTGCTGAGGTACGCTTACCAAAATCTGCTTATGCACCAGGTGAAACAGTTATTGGTTCTATTAAAATTGACAATCGACATCCAAGACATATCGTTGATCAGGCAATATTTTTTCCGAAATTTTGTTTTTTATTCTCTTTTTTATTTTCTGACAATTCATTTAAAACGAAATACTTTAATAGATTAGTTTTGCAATTATATATTTAAATTGAAACAAAGTTTGAAAGTGATAGTATTTCTAAACTAAATTAGTTGCAAACTTAAATTATCTTTTCAAATTTATGAAAAATTTGAAATAGATCTATAACTATAATTATCGATAATTAATATACAATTAATGAATGTCTTCCGTTTTAATCTTTTTTTTTTTTAAGATGGAACTTCGTCTTATTGATCGAGTTCACTGCATTGATTCCAATAATAATAATACATTACCTAATCGAACACTGATCATACGTCGGCTTGAGAAACATGATGCTGTTAAGTCGAAAAGTCTATTAGAAAAAGATGAAGTGTTTTTCTTACAAATTCCTGCTTTAGCACCAACTATAGGTTTGTTTTTTTTTCTTTATGAGTTGTCTCTTTTTTTTTTTAAAGTCATTTATATTTTTAAGTAATTATGTTGGAATATTTTATCTTATCATAAAAAGAATAGCAATTTAGGTGAAATCAATATTTTGAAAAATTCACATATTCACTAACAAAATATGAGTAATTTAATAGAGCTTAGTAAAAGAGAAACATGGAAATGCTTGATCAAATGCTATAAAATTTACATTAAATAACATTTATTTGGATTTGAATGATATAATTTTTTTCTTTTAAATTCAGGAGCAAAATTTTATAAATCAACTGTTACTAATAATAGTGATGCTACTGATATTTCAATCACACGAGATCAATCAGTACCCGATTCCACTGCTCTTTTAGTCAAATTTCAAGAATCTCCAAGTAGTGCAACTTTGAGATTTCGAAAGAAGCCCTTTTTACGGGTTGAATATGCCATACAAGTATATTTATACATTCCTTTATATCATCCAAAATTATTTTATCGATGATTGAGAATTTCAAAGATTTATAATAAATTGATTTGAACCCAATAATTGTGACAAATTATTGGAATTTTTTTCAAAATACTTTTTCTTTTTTTCTTAAATGAACTTCCTTATTTTATCGTCATGTTTAATAGATATAGTATAAATTGTTGGATTTATTAGTCTTACAAATTCATTCAGCATAAATTTCAATTCTTAAAAATTTATTTAAATTTGCAATAAGTTGCAGTTATCACTTGGTGATTATTTATTGCTGGAATTACCAATAACAATTTTACCATTACCATGTCGTGGTAGCAATATCATTTATCAACCGTTTGTGGGTGGTGCACAACCAATACCAGAAAGTGATGAGTCAGGAAAATTCATTTATGGTGATGGCTTCATGTTTACACCTCAATATAGTGTCCTGGTTCCATCTATCAACAATTATTCATCCAAAGATGGTGTTATTACAAATTCGGGTACAACAACAGTAGCAACAACAATAACAGATGTTATACAAACAAACGGTAACACCGAAAATGGTATCAAGAGATAATGGTACATAAAAGGTACCCCTAATATATAAGGATGATAATATCAAAATATTGTTAGCAATGATCTATGAATAGATACTTTTAAATTCTATATGCTGAATGATGAAAACGGTGCCATTCATTAATTCGCAATTAATTAACGTATATATAATAATAATAATAATAATAATAATAATAATAATAATAATAATAATAATAATAATAATAATTAATTTAATCTTTCTCACATTGATAATTTATTTTTTGATTTATCGTTAACGGTTTCGATAACTGGAATTGTTGCATAAAGCTGAGACCTTTTTTTCAGAATCAATGTTTAAATTTAAAATTTAAAAGTTCCAACTATTCACTTCATGCTAGTTTTACACTCTTTCTTTTCAATTTCTTTCCTTTCGCTTTTTTTTTTTTTTTACTATATTACTTAACTATATTATTTTAATATTGATTTTGCCACAACCAAAAAAAAATCCCATAAATTGATATGTTGTGAATCACATTATTTTCTTTTTAGTTATTAAAGAATGCATAAAATTTTACACGTTACTATGTATTTAAGAGCTAATTCGTTTATTTTGCATAAATGTTTATAGTATTTATGGTAGCATTCAACATAGATATACCGAAAGAGATTTATATCATCAATTGCAAAATTATATCACTGAAATAACCTTTTATAGTTTTTTAAACAATCGATAGTTTATGTATCCAAATTCATCAATTGGAGACCAATTATAAACATCAACAAATAAAGTTAGGGAGGATATAATTTAATAACAAATTTTCAGCGAATTACATATATTTTTAATATGAAATGTACTTGAATAACAATATTAAATTGCCTTATTCATTTTAATTGATATATTCATTGATGAATTAATTAGATAATAAGTGCTGAAAACTACACATGAATATCTGTCTTACATGTAAGACCTTGATTTGATGTTACAGAAAATTCTGGTCAATGGCCTCCCGAAAATATCGACAAATATCAGAAATTGCTAGCAAAATAAAATCGGATTATGTTATGCTTGCGATAAAAAAAAAAGAAAACAAACAAACATTTATATTTAAGCGCTTAATGCATCATAAAACAAACGGCACGTGAATCAGCTTGCAATATACTTTCAAAAAAAAAAAAAAAAAAAAAAAAAAATCGTTCAAACAAATTTATATCGTAAAATCGATTTAGTAAAAGTGACTTCATAATTCATTCTGATATGGAAATTTCAAGAATTTAATTTTCACATAGCAACCTATCATTATGCAAAAACTTTCCGGAAAATATGTGCAGTTCCAAAACCACACAACTATTATCAACAATAATATGAATTCACTATAGCTATAAGAGTTATTTAAAACACCCTACTGACATGTACATAAGTGCAACCGGAATGATAAATACCACTTCCCTTTATTTAGATACGTTTGCCATGCAAATTTCGCTGAATTTCATTAACTATAAGACAAAAAAAGATTCCAATTCAATATAACATTGCCTAAGAAATATCACAGCAGATGTCTATCAATAAACATCTGATGCTGAAAAGAAAGCAAAATTCAGATCATCTATGCTATCTATGAATAAGCTTTCATCATTTCACTGCACCTGATGATACCTTTAATAAGTCCACAAACATCAAAAAAATATTATAAATCAAAACCTATGAACAAATATTAGTGAAAGCAGCGCACTTTTCAAAAAAAAAAAAAGAAAATTATAAAGAATTTAAAATAGTAGAATTTGATGTTGACGATGATGAAATGAGATGCAGAATGCCACCAATTCTTCGCATTAATTCGTCAAGATCGATGAAATGTGTTAAAATCATTAGCGCTAGCCAGAACAAAATCACAAATCCAGCCCGGGTCCTGAAAACCATAAAACTGACATAATAGTAGCGAAAAGGAATTTAATAAATTGAAATCCACGAAAGAAATCCTTACTAAATAATTACCGGAAGCGAAAAGATTCATTATAAGAATAGTAACAAACCTGGTGCCTGTGAAAGGTTTAACAAAATCAAGAGCAAAAGACACAATAAGCAATACAAGCTTGATAAATTCCACCAGAATATTTGTTCCAGAAAGCATTACTGAATTGAATGTTGTTTGTGGTCGAGATTCTGTCCATTCTTTCACATTTACTTCCATTCGTATCATCTAGAAAAGGAAGTTTTGAATTATTAAGACTATGTTACTGTAATTTATAACCTGATTTTTACTCATGGATCTATTAAATATTAGAATAGTTTGAAATAAATAATGACAAAACAACCATGCTTCTTTTGAATATTTGTTCAGGGACCAATTTTAAAGCAGAATTTGAATTCCGCAATAATACCAACAATACATTATATAAAAAAAAATCCGAATAAAACCTAAACTATTACCGGTTGATGAAAAAACAATTTCACCTTATTTTGAGTACTTTCAATGTTTTCTTCAATGGAGCGAAAACGATCGCTATACTGATAATCCATACGTGTAGCAATTGTGTTGAGATCAGATTTAAGTGCAATCATTTCAGCTTGATGCAATTCAATTGTTTCATTCAACATTTCTTCAAGCCTCTAAAAACGTCCAAATTATGAGTTAGTTTATCTAATAAAAAAATAGGAAAGAAAAAACGTAACCATTTTCGGACATATCAAATCTCTCTCTAGCGCTGAAAAATTATTCATAGTATACCAATCATGAATGTCATAAATAAAATCTAATAACACTAAAACACTTAAAAATAATTCAAACTTTTCATTTCAACAAACCTGTGTTTTGATCCTTTCTTCATGAAGAGCACTATTGAAATAATTGAATTCAGATTTATTCTGAGTCTAAATTTTTTGATGAAGGAAGATAATAAAAGATATCAAATATTTTACGCAGTAATAATACACTGTTATAATCATTATGACTAAAAATAAAGAAATAACAGCCCAGGATAATAAGACTAACCCACGAATGATGATGACTCGTTTATATAACGAATATGATCAGAAATAAGTCACATAAAAAGCTTATAGTACTTAATCAGCTATTAAGTGCTAGTACCAAATTACTTATTGCTATAAATTTATCCGTTTGACACTGTTATAAAACAGTGCTATACGTTCTCAAAATAATCTGTCAAGCCGTCAACTTTGAACTTTCTGAGAGCATTTATCAAGCCGTCAACTTTGAACTTTCTGAGAGCATTTATTAAAAGAGGGCAAAAAGAAAAACAACAACTCAATTTACCTGCAACTTATTAAGCTGCTCAAAAAGCGCCTGATTTTGTGCTTTCAGTTCCTGTATGTCATTGTGCAATTCGATGACAGTATTTGCAGCAGTAAATTTGACTTCTGGTTCATCATGAGGGAGCATTTCTGGTAGAGACGAGATTACCAAATTATCGAGATCAAATGCCATAGAAGGCAATGTTTCATTACGCTTATGTCCACGCTTAGCAGGTGATGGCGCCACATCACGATTTTCGAAATCCAACTTATGTATCCTGAAAAGAAATAACTCTGATTATTATATGAGCATTAAAGTAAAGTAAGAATAAACAGATAAGAAAACAGCACACAAACAAAAAACGCAAATTACTGGAAATTTAAAAAAAAAAAAAAAAAAAACAATCAAACAAACAAACCTATCATTAGTTTGTGTATCAGAGTAAAAAGTGGAATGGCCCACATTGGACGCGCCACTAGCAATACTGTCCGGTATATTATCCGCTGATCCAAAAGTACTTTTGATTATATGTGCTATACCACGTGGTGCAGCTATCACTTCTCGAAGTAGTGGACCCGTTTTCCTAAAATTATAATACCAAACTTTCCAGATATTAAATTATGGAAACTATGCAAACTGCAAATTCAGATCGAAATATGATTGGAAAAATGTTTGAAATAGCAAACCCCATATCATATTTAAATGGAGGTATCGGTGTTTTTATAACTTTCACATATAAAATGACAAGTAAGGAATCCAGCAGAAGACCTATTGATAAAAAGAATTCGTATAAGTCATCCACAGATCCTACTAGAAGACTTAGATGAAATAGAAATTATTGAATATACAACTTGATTTCAGACTAGATGATCCAGATGGTCAGCAATTTAGCCACTATAAATAATGTGACTACTTTTTCCCAAGTAGGAAAAATTTTTTTAATTGAATCACAAACCTAATATTATTAAGTACAGAACTTTTAGGTGAAACTTCGGTGACAATTCCCATATTCAAATCCACTAATTTTGATTGCAGTTGTTCCAGCTTTTTCTAAAGCAGTATCATATAGTTTCACTTGCAGTCTTTTTAAAATACTAATGTTCGCTTACTAAAAAATACTAAAATTCAGTTTCAGATCTTTTTTATTTCTGATACACGCCATTAGTTTAAATAACTAATCTAACACATCGGTTTGCTTATTGAGTTTCACTCATCTCGTACAGTAAACCTTACCTATCGTTGTATGCAGAAAAAAAAAATGGCAGTGGTGTGGAATGCATATAACATAAAATTTACTACGGTATACTGAAATACGGCTAAGCACTTAAGCATATTATTTTTCATTAGTGAATAGTTCAGCTTTGGAGCAATACCTTTAAATGTTCAATTTCTTGCGAACTTTTCTTATTTTTCTTCTCGAAATGTTGTCGAACCCGTGCTAGTTGTGGATTTTCGCTTCCACCTTCCATACTACTAGTCATAGACAAAAAGTCATCAACATCCGCTGCAATAAGACTGAAAATGAATTGTCAAATTTGAATGAACAAAGACAAAGGTAAAAAGATTATACAATTAAAATCACTCCACGATAAATTCTGACAAAAAAATGAATAACAAATGATAGACACCCTCTCTGGCAAGAGAAATACGAGATAATCTTTCTTTGATTTGCTCAATTTTGCGCTCAATGCGTGTTCGGTCATCCAAGCCAATATCATCTACACCTCCAGCGTAGGATGTTCCTCCATCCGATGAACGCAAACTACCGCCCAACCATGAACCATCTGAC